TCGGGAGTGCATGAGGGAGGCTGACCGGGGACTGTCAGGAGAGCACAAAAGAGTATAAGGAAATGTTTAACGAAGGTGAGGTCAGCAGGATTTCCTTACTGGGATTTGCCAGGTTCCTGGGGCTGCTGAGCTCTGCCGGGTTGAGCCGGGCACAGCCCCGGTCTCACAGGTGGGGTTCCCTCCCCTGCCTGCTGGCTTGGCTCCTGGGCCACACACCTGGCCCCGACGCCGCACATCAGGAGGGACAGAGAGAGGCGGAAAAGTCCACAAGGCCCCTCACAAGCTTCACCCCACTCCCCACCCCTGCATCTGACGTTGGAATGCCACGCAGGCACTAATTTAAAACCATGTTCTGCGAAATGGGAAATGCTCACGATACGACAGCAAGTGAAGAAAGCAGGAAACTAGGCGTCAGCAGCGCGATCGGAGCCGTCCCGGTGTTTATGCCTGTATAGCCCGGTCAGGAGGCGCTCACAGGAACTAGGCCGGAACGGTAACAATGGGCCGCTCACTCTGGCTGTGGGACTGAGGGCTTTTCTTTTTTTTTTTTTTTCTTTCTCATTGAACGTTTTCCAAAATTTAGTAATGAGTCTGCAATACATTAATGATCAGAAAACGGTGATAAACCTTGTTCAGGTAGTAAAGCCACACAAACCACGTGCTCCGCCTGGTCAGGCCGGGCCCTGCCGCTGCCTAATTTACAAGGTCGCAGGTGTTTCCGCCGCTTGGGGGGGGCAGCCTCAGCTGGCTCATGAATGGCACCATAGTTAATATAATAATGGCCGTTTATTGAGAAACTGTTACGTGCCGGGGGCTCTGTACACTTATCTGTAACGCTCTGTGCGAGGCAGGGATTTAGCCGGGCTGTGCAGGTAAGGAAGCGTCCCTGTGCCCGGGTCGCCCTGGAGCTGTAAGAGGTAGGGACAGAGACTCAGTCAGGTGTCTCTTGGAGTCCAGAGCCCATGTCCTCTAGATCCTTGTGCTCCTCAAAGCGTGGCGGCTGGACCAGCAGCGTGGGTGTCACCCGGGTGCCGGTTAGACATGCGGAAGCGCGGACCCCGCCCCGAGGCCTGCAGTTAACAAGATGCCAGGTGTTCGTATGTACCCTGCAGGGTGAGAAGCGAGGCTGTAGAACATGTCACCGCCCTTCTCACCTGGGGGTCACACGTGGCCATACCAAGGGCTGACATAGGTCAGCCGGTCCCTTTTAAATCCATGTTGAATCAGATGGGGGTGGGGGAGGTAGAAGAGAGTAAAGAGGGGCTACATGGTGACGGAAGGAGGCTTGGGGTGGCGAACACAGTACACTATACGGATGATGTGTCATAGAATTGTACACCTGAAACCTATATACTTTTATTAACCAATGTCATCCCAATAAACTCAATAAAAATTCAAATAAATCAAATAGAAAGAAGGTTTGGCTTGTGGGGGGAAAGGGGGAGTGTAAATGATGGTGGAGTTGCAACGAGATCATGAAAAGCTGAAAATTTCAACACAAATCTTGCGATTAGCATTGTGATGCCCAGTGTGGTGATAACTCCTGTTTCTTTTTTAAAAACTGTGGCCCTTGGCGATGATTTACCCCAGTCAGCGCTTGTCCCCTAAGCTTCCGTAATGGGAGTGTTTGCGTATAGGTGTGATCGTTGTTTCTCAAGCCCTCGGCTGCACCATGAGGACCATTTCTCTACTGGAGGGGCCCCCCATTACCCCCCTCTCTCTGCATGGTGGTCAGCATTGCGCCTGGTTCTCCGCAGCAACCAGGACAGAGGGCTTGGGTTTTCATTGAGTTTCTAGAACATCGATCAGTGTGCAAAGCACTAACCATTCGTTATCTCATGTAGTCCTTCCAGTACCTCTGTGAGGGGACACAGGCAGCCCCATGCTTCAGCTAAGGAAAGCCGGGCTCTCAGACCTCAGGTAACTTGCCCAAGGTCATGGCCAGAGTCGTCCCTCAGCCACACTGATGAAGCATTCATGGGTCAGATTAATTTTGATCTGTAAGGTCAAGGGCTGAGTTTTTGTGTGTTTTTTTTCTGGGAGAGAGTTTTGGTTTGACCTCTACTTTTCTCAATGACTGGAGTTTCTCCAAATTCTCTAAACATGGTTTGAAATTTTAAAATTGTCCCAGCTATCTTTTCTGCTGTTAGATGTTGTGCCACATGAAGTTGTTGCACCCCATGGACAAGTCATCATTTAGGGGAACAGTGGAAAAAGCCAGGGATGGGGCTGCTGATGGACTATGGGGCTCCACTCGAGTAATTCAGTTTGTTTAGATCTCAGTTTCTCTCCCAGCAAAATGGGAGTAATAGTGTTTCTAGCTCCCAAAAGTCTTTCTATTCAAAGGAAGGCAAGAAGGTAGTGTATCAGTGTTGCACTTGGAGGAGATGGCCGACTGGAAAACTCATCTGGCGCCAGGCTCTCGAGGGTTTGCACTTACGCCCATCGCTGCGTTAAAGCGTCTTGCTCTACTTGGTAGCTACTTAGGCCGTGGAAATGAATACTCTCCCGTCTGCGGTTCCCACACAGGGCCTCCGATGGGGACTGTTACATGGACGTGGCCCTTCCTCTGTATGAGAACCTGCGCATCGTGGAGCAGCCCGTGAACCTGAGCAGCCTTGCGCAGAAGTACGCCGAGAAAGCCACCCGGTTCATTCGGCGTGCAAGGTAAGGAGTCCCGTGGCCCCAAGCGCTGCCCACCACGTCCCCGGGCCTCACTGAGCACCCTGCAAAGCCGTGGCCGACTCCCCCCGTCCAGCGAAGGGCAAGGCACACCTGTCTCCTGTAAGCAAAACTGGAAAGCGGTCCTCCTTGGACTCCCCAGGCCCGGGGCTGCCGTCCCTCAGGTGTGTTCCCAGAGTTGCTGGGCTTCCCTGCATTCCTGCTGGGATCCTGCTTTACTGTCAGCATCACCTGCCCTCTCCTGGGGCAGGGTCTGTCCAGTGTATTTTGGGCGCTTAGGGCTTTCGTTGACTTCGTTAGTTGGCAGGGTGTATTTTCTTATTGCTTCACTCACAAACTTACCACCAATTTATTGCTAAAACAACAGCAATTTATTCTCCCATGGATCTGGAGGTTAGACGTCTGAAATGAGCCTTAGGAGCTAAAATCAAGGTGTCAGCAGGGCTATTTCTCTGGAGGCTCCAGGGCAACATTGTTCTTTGCTTTTGGCAGCTTCTGGTGGCTGCTGGCTTCCTTGACTTGTGACCACATCACTCTAATCTCGATTGCTGTTGTCCCTTTGCCTTCTCCTCTCTGTCATCAAATATCCCTCTAGAATATCTCTTTTATAAGGACACTTGTGATTATATTTAGGGTCTACCTGGAGAATCCAGGATAATCTCCCTATCTCAAGATCTTTGATTGCTTCTGTACAGTTTCTTTTGCCATATAAGGTAACACAGATTCCAGGGATTACACCCTGGATATCTTTGGGGGCCATTATCAGTGTAACCCACAGGGCTTACAAATTTCAGCATGTACAGGACGTAGGTAGGTAGCCTTTAAGAGGGAAGCAGGCTGACTGCAAGGCACTAGGGAATGGTGGGGCCTGTGGCGTACTTGAAAGCACATTCCCCATCTCAGGAGGCAGCCGCTACCTAGGTCCAACTGCCCGCTGCTTCTTTGTGGGAATGGGAGCCTGGATTGTCAGAGCTTTCCATTTTACAAGAGAGACGGGATACTTGCCCCTTGTGCGAAATCACCTGATCTGTGAATGTTAGAAACAACTAATTAAAAATAACAAAAAGCAAAAAGCAGGACCACACCGTAGTGTGTCTCTAACAAGCTGTATGTGTGTGAGGGCTGCTGCTTTGCAGCCTCTGTCAGGCCAGGGCAGAGAGTGGGATTCCCCGTCGTGCACACTCCTCTTGGGTGCACGTACATAGACCAAGGGGGAACAAGCTCACGCCCGTGCGTGCACACACACCACCACCCCTCCCCTGGTCCTGACCCTTCTCAGCTGCCCCGGCACTATCCTCTAATGACCCCCTGTGTGTTCCTTTCATCTTTCTCTCAGATTGTAAACTCCAGGGCAATGCAGTAGTTTCCAGTAGGTGCTCTAGCATTTCCTGTGGCTGTAGGCTAAGTGGGCAAGAAAAAAATGTGCTGAGTGCCTCTCTACTGTGCAGAATTAAAAATAGACTCCACCTGTGGACAACTGACCACCCAGCTCCTTGAATGTGCAAGAATCCCCCCAGCCCCTTGTTCAACCAGGTCAGATTTTTCTAGAGAGAAGGGCAGCAGGGAGGGTGGAGGCGGCAAGGTCGTAGATCCACGTATGTTTTCTTGATAATAAAACCTACGTCAGGCCTAAATCTACAGAGCGGCGTCTTGGGGCTTCTGAGATTGCGTCTAACCAGTTTCTCGGGACTTTCTGGGAAACCCTGTCTTTTGTGCAGGTGGCCCCTAGGGAAAGGGGAGAGACCCTTCCATCTGGAGGGTGGAGCATTTCTCTGCTCCCTGGAGCTCTGAGATTGTTTCAGGCCCTGTGGCCAGTGACAGGTGGATGCTTCTGGCTGGTGGGGACTGGCCTGGTGGGGACTGGCTCTCCTGTCTTCACGGAGCCTGGAGCAGCACAGCTTCCTCACGATGAGAGGTGGCAGTCGGCCAGGGACTAGAGACCTAGGGACAGATTACCTCTCGCTCTGAAGAGAGTGTAGTACTGTTCACTCACCTGTTCACTACTCAGTTAAAGGACAAACAGATCCTACTTTATCACGTGAAAAGGTGAAGAGCTGATTTATTCATCAGTTATTAAGTGAAAAGTCACATGAATCCCATTGGCTTTCAACATAGCAGAAAAGAATCCTCAGGCCTGCTGAGTTCTTTAGGGCTTGGCTCACCAGTTCATCCATGACTTTCAGAACGTCAGCAGAAAAGGCCTCCAGGCCTGTGCTCCTTCCTCTGCGGTGCCCACCCTCCCCCTTACCTCCCTCTGGGGCCCCTTCCCCCTCCCCACCTGTGTGTCAGAACTACCAGGGTTCCTAGAGTGTGGGGTCCTGCCCTCCTCCACAAGGGGCCCGCCCTAGGGCTTCTTTGAAAGTTTTACTTGGATCTGTACTTGAACTTAGACCCTTGCTGAAAGCTAATCCTTGACTTGGGTTTTTTTAAGCAGCAGGCAAACTCTGAATTGACAGAAAGGGAGAAAGCAGGTGGTGTGAGCTCTTCCTTCCATCACAGCTGGCCAGGCCTCTGCTCCTTGCAGGGCCCGGGACTGGGCATTGAAGCTCATTAGGGGGCAAGGGTTTGACTATGATGAGGGCATTGGGCACAGGTATGAGGGGTAGTGAAGGTTCTTTGAAATTAGAGTAGATGGTCAAGATTCCAGGGTGTTTACCAGTCAGTAGGTCTTAGATGTGCATAGATAACCTCTCGGCTTTTCCGTTCCAGCGCCAGCAGCAGACCGTTCCTGCTCTATGTGGCCCTGGCCCACATGCACGTCCCCCTAACCAAGACCCAGCTACCAGCAGGCCCACAGGCCCGGAGGCCATACGCTGCAGGCCTCCGAGAGATGGACGGCCTGGTGGGCCAGATTAAAGACCAAGTTGACCGCACAGCAAAAGGAAATACATTCCTCTGGTTTGCAGGTAAGTAGTAAAACCCAGCCAGCCTATCTGAGATCTAATGGTCAGCTCTGCATGTGCGCTCTGAAGAGCTGAGCCTGGTCAAGTGATCATCTTTAACCGGGTAGGAGGCTCACTCTGAACTTGGGGCCCTACTAGTGTTGGTTGGTTTGAATGCTAAGCACCTGTCCATTTGGGGCCTCCAAGACTAAGCCCCTGGAAAGGTCTGCACCGAGAGATCTGGTACCCTGTTGGGCCCTTAGGTATTGATCGGGGCCATCTGGGTATTGCTCTTAATTGTTAATGAATGACTTTGACATTGTGAACCTATGTAGTCCTCGGTTGGACTGTTCTAAGACTCCCTCTTCACTGCCCTCCTGGTCCCAGGGACTCTGGTTGCTACTGGTCACTAGGCCACCAGGTCCTGTCTTTTGGCTGAGTGGATCTGAACTGGTGAGCCATTTAGAGGCCCCACAGGCACTGTGGGTTTCAGGTCCCCATCTGGATGAGGGCAGTGGTCAAAAGCACTGTCTTTGGGTCACAGAGACGCCTGGATTTGAGTCTATGCTACTGTTGAGAAGGTTAATCTCACCAAGCCTCTTCACCTGCAAAGTCAAGCTAACAATGGAACCTAGTCCACAGCATGTTGGAGGATCATGAGATAATCTACGTGAAGCAATGGGCACATAATAGGTGCTCAATAAGTAGTTGCTGGGCTGATGGCAACGGTAATGCAGTTGCTAACAGGCAAAACTCCATGAGGCAAGAGCCTCAAGATGGGACTAGCCTGGGGAAGGAGGGGCCACCTCTGAAGGTCCAGCAGAGCTTCATTGAAGGGCAGCTCTTCAAGGGCAGGGTCGTATTTGATTTTACAAGTCCCTCTTCTATCTAGTTCCCTGCTGTGCCCAGGGATGTAGGGCCAGAGAGAGAGAGAATCAGCCAAAGTGACCACTAGCCCATTGACCTTTCCGTGTTGCTTCTTTTGGTTTTTAGGAGACAACGGCCCGTGGGCTCAGAAATGTGAGCTGGCAGGCAGCGTGGGTCCCTTCACCGGATCATGGCAAGCTCATCAAGGTAGGGGTCTCAGCTGGCGCTGGTGGATCCCACCGTGGGTGGGACATGGGATTCTGTCTCTGGAAGGACCAACTTCTACCCGGGCCTTAGGGCATCATTGTGAAACAAGGACAAAGTCCTCACCAGTCACCAGGTGCCAGAAAAGAAACCGATTGGAACAGAGAGAGTTTCTGGTTAGCCCAGAGCGTCCTGTCTCTCCTTTCCTCCTGGGACACTCTCAGGGGACCGGCCCTCTTCCGACAAGCCAGCCCGCGGGCCTGCCCAAGCTGTGCGCTTCCTTTCCTTCCATCCTGCTGCCCTTCTCATTGTTTCCCTTCTTTCTTTCCTCTTCGAAAAAGTCATCCCTCCATCCACCCAACCATTAAGTCATTGCATTCCTTCAAGAAATATTGAGTACACAGCTACTGAAGGTGTCTGTATCCATTGTCTCTACGCCTTACAATCATAAAAGGTAGGTTCATTTCCATTTACAGAGAGAGGCTCAGAGAGGCCAAGTCACCTGCCCGTGGACACACAGCTTATGAGGAAAGAGCCGGGCTTGCGTCTCCCGGGCACACCACACTGCCCTTCTCTATTTAAACACCCTCGCTCCCAGCTCAGCACCCATCTGCTCTGGACAATTTTCCTCCCAAGGACCATACTTTTCTGAGAGAGCAGCCTCTCTGGGGCAGTTGGTAGTATGGACCAGACCCTCAAAAAGGCTCATGCCTCTTTCTGCTTCAGTTTCTCCTCTAAGAATTTCTCCTAAAGAAATAAATATCCAAGTGCACAACAATGTATATAAAATGATGTTTATTGCAGTAGTTGTTTAAAAAGTAGTTGGACATAACCCAAGTGCCCAGCAGTAGAGGAGTGTGAAAGAAATTACGATGCATCCGTTTAAAGAAATGCTGCATGTCACTGACCTGGAAACATTTGCATTCAATACTTTTCAGCGAAAAAAGCAGGTTGCAAAACAGTATGTGAAGGATAATTTTATTACATAAAAATAAGAGTAGGTATTCTCGGGAAATGGCTAGAAGAGGCAACAGAAGGTAACGAAAGATTAGCAGTAATTACCTCTGGGTATGATTTTTCCCACAACGAACTGGTATTATTCATATCCGAAAAAATTAAAATAAAGTTTTTTAGAAGGTGCTTGTATCCCAGGGGTTCGGAAGTGGACGTGACGAGGTTTCCCGCTGGGCCTGGGTTTTCCTGCCGTCCAGCTTGATCCTGAGCCGTGGCCCCCCAGGTCAAAGGACACAAAGTCCCTTTCATATTAGTCTGGCAGAATATTTGTCATTTCCCAGGACTGTAACCTTTGTGCCCCTCGAGGCCGGGGGCGAGAGGGACGTGCTGGTCATTCCTTTTTATTTGTCAACTTTAACCTGGTGCTCCTTGGCTCGGGTCCCTGGAGAGCTTTACAAGGGAGCGGCTGCCGGGGCTGTGGCCACTGTTCTCTTTCAGCCCGGTCCCCCTCTGTGATGAGGGTGATGGACCCATCTCACTGGACCGCTGGGAGGGGCCCCCGGGCTGTTGCCTGCGGGACGCTCGCTCAGCCTCACGCTTGGCCTTCACCTATCCCCGCAAGACTCCGTTGCTTCGCTGCCAGCCGAAACACGGCGGTGCTCCAAAGGGGGGAATTGGGAGGGGACCGGCAAATGCCCTAAGAGAGGCTCTCTTGGTAAGGTACCCGGGTAGCGTAAATAGCATGTGGATAACTTTCCTGGTGTCCTGGCCTCTGTCTTGGGAAACGTTCCTCAGTAGCTGGATTTCAGTTGTCTCAAGAGAACACTTTTTTGGGCACGGACTTGCCCAGTGTTGCTGCTCGATGTGGGATCTGAGTGGCGGGCACGGCACCTGAATTTGTGGGGGGCTGGGGCTGGATTCGTTTTCTTCTCTCAGGAGATCCTGGAGGCAGACTTTGCCTGGGGGTGAACGCTTCATGTTCACCTCCAGACCAGCTCCGCTATTCCAGAGCCTTCCTCGCTGCCTAGCAAGCTGCAGTGGGCCCCGGGAGGCCAGGCGGAGCCCTGCGGGGAAGGGCCGAGCCAGGCGCCCGGGCAGGAGGTGAGCTGGGGGTCCTCCTAGACCGCCTGCCCCTCCTCGCGCAGGTTCCCCGTCAGCGGGACGCCTGCACATCCCACGGTAAGGGGGCCGGCCTCGAGAGCGGATGAAAGAGAGAAGACGGTCGATATTTTTGCAGCGGAGTAGGACAAACAGTACTCAGAGCCCTGCTCTTTCCTCTGTGCAGCCAGCCCGCTGCGTCAGGCCTCGCACTGCCTTCTCCTGCTTTCGGCCCCCCGGGCCCCCCTCCTCGCTTCCCCTTCCTTTCCTGGCCGGGCCGCCTTGCTCAGCTGATGGGATGAGGCAGCGTCTCCTGGAGTCATCTCTTCACCCCGTGCAGGAGCGAGGGTGCTCCCCTGGGCTCGGCCTGCGCCCTGCAGGGGTGAGGGGAAACCATCCCGGGGGGCGGGGGGCAACCCAAAGTGACCCTGCCTCCTCCCGAACAGGACATGAGGCGCCTGCCCACCGCTAACCCCAAGCCCACGGCCCCCGCCCGGGCCTGGCTCTGAGCGGCTGTCCCTCTCTTCCCCACTCCAGACCTGCCTCCTGCCCAGGACAGAACCCGCACCTTGTTTGTCCCCTAACAGACTGCTCCTCTGTCTGGAAACTCTTTTTTTGTTTTATTGGAAGAGCAGAACTGTTCCTTCCTCCCCCTTGGTGATGAGGAAACATTCTGTTGAACTTGGCACCCTCAGCCTCTGAGAGACCTTGGTTGTTTGTAATCTGATGCTATCAGGTTGTTGCATAACTTTCCCACTGGGAAGCAGGCTCTGCATCCGGGGCCTTCTGTCCAGTGGGGAGGGGGAGGGGGAGGGCCAGGGAAAGGTCAGAGGTGGGCTGGGTGAGGGAGCATGCATGGGACAGGCTGTTGGCTGTTGGCCCTGGTCGCGGACAGGGCCAGCTGGTGGGGACCCAGTGGAGGTTGAATTGTGTGTCCTTATGGGCCTTGGGCCACCAGGCTTGAAATGTCCCCATCATCACAGTTCAGGCCACCCCTGGCCAGCCAGAGTCATCAGTCCCAGCAGAGGCCTGGCTGCCCTTTGTTTCTAGAAAACCAGCATGCTACGGGCACCCTTGGCAAGGGCACATGTTTATATTTAGAAAGGAAGCCTGCTGCTTCGGAAGGTTAGAGAACGTGGGCTCCTTGGAACCGGCGTGTTCCTCCCAAGCCACAAGCTCAGATGTCTTCGCAGCCCAGGCAGGTGATACAAACACACACGTGTGCGTGTCACCAGTGTGGGCCATTCCGGAGTCAGGACACTGGAGACAGGGTCCTGTCTAATGACATTCAAAATTAGTTTTAAAACACACACACACAAAAACCATACATGCCACCCTGGCTGGTTTGGCTCAGTGCTTAGAGTGTCGGCCCACGGACTGAAGGGTCCTGGGTTTGATTCCGGCCAAGGGCATGGACCTCGGTTGCAGGCTCGATCCCCGCTCTGGTCAAGTGCGTGCAGGAGGCAACCAATCAATGTGTCTCTCTCACATCGATGTTTCTCTCTCTTTCTGTCTCTCTCCCTTCCACTGTCTCTAAAAAGCAATGGAAAAAATATCGCTGAGTAAGCATTAAAAACCACACACATGCAAAAAACCATCCATGCTAAACCAAGTGTCGGAGGGCGCAGTTCAGTGTCTGAGCTCCCCGGTGGCAACTGCTGCTCTTCTCTATCTGTAGGTAATTTTTTGGTGGTTTTTTTTGGATGGCATTTTTTTTTTGGCACTTTGTGGCACACACTATGCCAAAGGATCTTGCTTCAAGCTTCATATACATTCTCTTGTGTAACTTCCCCCCACCCCATGAGATGAGTACAACCTTGTTGCCCCTCCGTGGCTGGGGAGACTGAGTCTGATGGGAGTTAAGAGCTCTGCCCAAGGCCACACAATCGAGGAGGGGTGGCCCTGGAGCTCGACCTGAGGCCTGCCGGGTGCCAGAGGCGCCTCCCCCTTACCTTGCTAACATTCCTAAAGCTCGGGCCCTCAGACCATCGCTTCAGATTCACCCAGAACCCAAGTCCCGCCCTGGACTTAGTGAGCCCGCGTCTCTGGGGTTTTCCCTGTGGCCTCCGGGCTCTACCAAGAAGTTTCGAACTCGGTCTCTGACTCAGCGTGGCGTGGCGCTTGGGTCCCTTTCGGGAGAGACTGCTGTTCCAAGCTTGGGCCAAGGGCGCCGTCCCTGGCTGGCCCTGTCTCCACGCATGAGGGACTGGTCACTTCACTTCCATGGCCAGGAAAGGACAAGGAAGCAAATCCATGAATCATGGTTCTGTTTATACTTTGGTTGCTGAGGCTAAATATTTATTGCTTTAAGTAAGAGGCTCTGCTTTAATTAGAGTCATAACTAACCACAAGTGCATTGAGATGGGTTCTCATGACTATGGGACATGCTTTTCTCAACAGAAAGCCACATGCAGCTAACACTTTTCATGAGCTGGTGCCACTGGTCAGGGGATTAGGGGTTAGCTACACTGAGAAACAGCTTCTGGCATCAGAAAGTACATAGAAAGGTAACCTGTGGACTTACCTGTTGTTCTTCTTATAACTGATGGGTTCATAGTTATGATCCGGTGTCTTAAAGATGTGAAGGTGTGGGCAGTGTAAAACCCCATGATTAAAAGCACTAGGCTACATTTAATTTTCAAATGCATTATGCCCACTTTCCGATCGTGCCCCTGCCCCGCCTGCTTCTGGAATGGGCGCTCTCTCCACTTTAAATCACCAAGAGTGCACCCCAGGCCAATTAAATTGAGATTTCTGGGAAGGGACCTCTGCATGGGTATTTTTCATGCTCCCCTTGTGATTCTACTACACATCCAGGGGTGAGTGGGAACGCCACCCTGGAAAATGTAATGACTGAGAGTGCTGGCTGTGTAGTTAGGCCTGGGTTCAAATCCCGGCTCTAGCATTTGCTAGCTGTGTGAACTTGGGCAAGTTACTTAACCTCTCTGAGCCTCGGTTTCTTCATCTGAAAAATGGGTATAATAAGCACCTATTTCTCAAGGGTTAAATGAGATAATGCAGGAACGCTCAGGAGTACTTAACTTGGTGCTTCGGCCGGGCTCGGTAAACAGGAGATGCTAGTGTTACTGTTATTACTGTGTGTAGCTGGGAGTGAGTTTCCATTAGCAGGAGCACGGATCACTGGAGAGGACCAGGGGACCGGAGGCAGCTCTCCTGGGATTCGGCCTCTGCTAGTGCAAAGAAGACACAACAAGCACTATGACTGTGATCATCAGACTCCACAGCCCTGGGGACCCACAAAGAATGCCAGTGAGAGTTTTTAAGCTTGTCCACCCCCAGCAGCGCCACTGAGATGCTGGGATGCAGGATAAGACGGTATCCACACCTTGAGGCGTATACACTTTAATAATTGCTTATGCACACCCTGGATGCTTTTCAGATAAATTGCTTTCGAGTGTGAGGTCTCTGGGCATGGCTGGGATATAGAGCCGTGTCTCTGTGTTAAAGCCAGAACCCAGCTGCCGCCAGACTAGCTGGCCAGCTCCACCACACAGGGGGATGGACCCTCTTGCGGACACACCGAGGGGCTTTGCTCAGCTAGCCTTTTTCTCTTTCTCTTAATTCTGAATCTTTGCCTGCGGCCCATTCTCTTGGTTGACATCTACACATTTTATAACTGAGTTCCTTCTAACCCCTCCAGCTTTCAACCCTCTGCTGAAAACGGCAAACACATCAAAGTATTTTTCTCTGAAAAATGACTTAGGCAAGTCCCTTGCCTGAAAGCAGCAACACAAAAGCTTGTGGCAAACAAGCAGACTCCCTAGTGGTGAAGGCCAATTAGCAGATTTCTTAGTTAGGGGCTAGTGTACCGTTCTAGAAACATCCCGGAGGCAGAGAACAACTCCTGTGCCCACCCTGGTGCCTGCATCTGGTGACTGTCAGAACTACCAGCTCATTTCTTGGAACTGAAGCCTTCACCTTAGCATCGGGCCTCAAAGGTTGCAGAACTGTGTGAATTTTGTGCACCAGAGACATGCAAATAAACAGGTTCTGTATCTCCCCCAGCTCTCCCCCAAGCTTCCCCATAAATTCCCCTCGTGGGGGTGGAATTCTCTGCAGAGCCCTAGCACATGCAAGTGTGGACACTCCCTTCCTCCCTACTCTTTGGCCTTCAGCTGCGGCGTAAATCATGTACCCAAAGCAGCGCGGGCGTGGGTTCCCTGCTTTGTGTGGTTCTGGATTCTCTCGTCTGTGGGCGTCAGTGATTGGGAGTAGGCTCTGTGTGTGTTTGTGGAAGGGTGGCTCTCGTCCGGAAGGATGGATTTGAGAACTCTTGGGCCAGGCCGAAGAGCTTCCCATGCAGGCTGCACAACTCCACTTGGTCCCAAGAGCCCCACACCCCGAAACACGAACGGTCCATAGGAGCGGGGTTGCTTTGTGTTTTTTGCTTCTCACTTCGACACTTGGGGGACCCCAAAGCTGGCCACGAGGAAACCTCAAGAATGCCGAGCATTTCTGGGGTGGCATGCTGGGTGCCGGGCCAGGGACCTCCAAGGCTCTGTGTAGTGCAGAGGGGCAGAAGCCTTGGCCTTGCTGTCCGCTCCTTCCCATCACCGCTGCTCTCACATCCACGCCAGCCGAGCTGGGGAGTCGCATGACCACGGGACGTGTGAGCCACACACACGTTTGCTTTGGCAGGCTTTCTACAGGCTAACCCTGAGGAATCCTTGGCTCGGCTAGGGTGCGGGTGGGGCGAGTGTGGGAGTGGTGGGGATGGTCATGGTTAACTCGAGGCAACATGTGTTCGGGATGTTTCCATCAAACATGACCTCATCTCCTCCGGCCCGCTGGCCACCGTTACTCTGGTGGTCACTTTTTGACTTAGCGTCTACAAAAGGAATTCCTTTCGTTACCAGAGTGGAAATTCATAGATTGCACATAGATTGTCCTTGCCTCCTCCGGGGAGGCGTGAGGTCGGAGTTCTTACTAATGCTGTCTCCGCCGCATGGGATCAGCTCGTGAACTCAAGGTAAAACAACGCAAAGCAGAAACAACAGCAGAGTCCATGCCCGGCCCGAGGTTGGGCCCGGGCAGGTCAGAGAGCTGGGGAACTTTCTGCCTTTCTCTTTTCAAACCATTGTATGTTTTCATCCAAAGCGGACGGCCACATTATGATCAGTAGGAAGACAAATTCATTTATTTAATGAGTGTTTGTTAAGTGCCCATGTCTTGGGTGCACAAGACTGACAAAGTCTCGTGGTGTGGAGACTCACGATAAGCGAGTCAGTGAGGCCGACGATGCGAAGTGTGACGCGGTCTGAAGAGACTAAAGTGACGCGGTTTCAGTAAAGGGCCACCGAGGCAGCTACTTACATATGTCGAGTCCGGTAAAATAAAAGCACGTCTTGAAAGATATTCGCTAGTTGGCTAAAAATAGCTGGTCACTACTGTAGTTATCAGGTGCTCTGGGAGGGCCCCCTTAGAGAGGGGCCCTTGACCCCGGGCGCAGCTCCGAGGTGAAGGGCAGGCCTGAGTTACTGCTGTCAAAGAACCCACCGCCTCCCCTCCTTCCGCAGGGGGAAGTCCAGCCAAGCGGACCACCTGGGAAGGAGGGCACCGCGTCCCGGCTGTGGCGTACTGGCCTGGCAGAATCCCCGCCAATGTCACCAGTCCTGCCCTGCTAAGGTATGACACCCAAACTACCTTGACGCGTTGGGGTTCACCGCAAGAATATCTTGGCCCTGGCCGGTGTGGCTCGGCGGTTAGAGCGTTGGCACGTGCATCGAAGGGTCACGGGTTCGATTCCTGCTCAAGGGCACGTACCTCAATTGCAGGTTTCATCCCCGGCCCTGGTTTTCGGGGCGCATGCGGAAGGCAACCAATCTATGTGTCTCTCTCACATCCATGTCTCTCTCTCTCTCCCTCCCTTCCACTCTCTCTAAAAATCAATGGAAAAAATATCCTCGGGTGAGAATTAACAGAATAAAGAAAATCAGGCGTTTGAGTGGGTCAGAGACCTCAACCTCGTCCACCGCCCGCCTTTCCCAGGCGTCCCCAGGCAGTTCCAAAGCTCGGATTGTAGCAGCATGGACCTGCCACCTGCAGTTCCACCTGCTGTTAAAGCAGTGGCGCAGGGCAGTCTTCCCAGGCCACCCGGCTTAATGTCTGGGTGAAGAGGGGACCGGGCGGGTTTGGTGGCCTTCAGCGCTGAGTCGTGGTGGTGGGTCTGCTACAGCGTGTCCCTTCCGCCCTGGCCCGAGCTGATGGGAGGAATCGATCATTTGAGCTGGAATAATTCCATCCTTGGAGGTAGGGCAGGTGTCCCAGGGGTGGCTGTGTGAAGCCAGCATTTCACGGGCAATCCCATGGCCCCAAGAGAGGCATGTAGATGTCCACTTGCCCTGGAGGGGAGGGGGAAGGGAGGCGGGGCCACCAGGCTGGCAGGGAGAGAATGAATCCATAGGCGGGGACATTCTCCGTACCCCTGGCAATGAGGCCTCTACAAGAAGGCGGGTCACTGGGTGCTTCCTTCAAAGAAAGGACAACTGTCCATGTGACATCTCGCCGTCGCCCTTAACTCCTTGTTAAGGCACATCTAGGAGGCCATCTCCTGGGCACAGAACTTGGCTGTGGGTGTGCCATTGAGCTGTGTAACCTCAATGGGGACTTTCCACTCATTCAGACAGGGTCTGCCCTATATTCACCGACAAGGGGGACCCTCAGTAGAAGCCAGTGCCTGCTCATGTGCTCGGAGGTTTGGGTCTGTTTGAGGACTAATTTACTATTTCCACGGGTTCTTCATCATCAGCTGAATGTACGAGCCTAGAGAACACAGCTTAGTAGAGGAAAGCAAGCTCCACGGGCCCCCTGGAGCACCCCCAGACCTGGTGGGGGGAGGAGAAACAAGCCCAGGGCAGAGGTGGGTAAACGGCTCCACTGGACAAAGCAGGGAGTGGGAGGCACCACCCCGGGCAGCCTGTGGGGCCCAGGACTCCAGGTCAGCCCCGTACCGTCAAGAGGGCTGGAGCCCTGTGATGTCAGGCTGGCCGGGAAGAGGGCCAGGCGCTCTGCTTTTTATGGGGCTGACTTGGTGCGCGCGGCCAGGCCAAGTGTTCTCAGGCCAGGCTGCACACGCACAAGGAACCGCCGTCTCTCAAGTTACATCACCCAGACCAGGCACGTGCCTCCCACTTGAGAGCGGTGTTTACACCTGTCCCCTGCCACAGCCCTGTGATACGATTGCGTCATCCTGTGGATCATCCAGGGCCCCAGAGACGGCAGCTGACACGGGATAGTTTGGGGACCGCAGGAAGTGAATCTCAGTACAAGGTAACATTTACTTGAGGGCGCCAGGAATTTTTACCAGAACGACACTGATACACTCTAGCAGCCCCTTGTAGGATGGTTTTGGTGTTAAACGGGTCTCAGTTGTATCAGGACAGTTTGTCTCCACAGAACCCACCCTCTTGCGTTTCCCACCTGAATCCATGTGCGCTTGGGGGGAGCATCCTTGCTGCCGGGACCGGCTGCCCGGTGCCTGCCTCCCGTTTCCACGGCTCCCTCAGGCTCAGTGCTGAGGAGAGACTGGGGCTGACGCGTCCCGTTCCCGGGAGCCCAGCGCTCCCGCCCAAGTGCTTATCGCTCTCCGAGTACGTCACAGCGCAGAGGATACAGATCTGTCACAGCTCAGAGGAAAGAGATCTTCCAGATAAGGCCGGAGTCGTTTAACCTGTATTCTGGCTGCCCTGATGTAAACACCAGGGAGCAGATGAGTTGATACAAGGATTCACACAAATACAGAAAAGTAAAAAGTGTTGAGGGGCAGGGGAGAAGGGATCCGCACTAATGCCACTGGCTCCCTCTTAGAGGTAACCGTTGCTCACACTCCGGGTGCACGCAGCTGACGTGGTAGGATCCGAGAAAGGACTCCAAAGCCCGGTGACACAGTGACAGAATGGGGGGAAATTCATTTATTCAACAGATGTTTATTGTTGTGTCCAGCTAGGGGTGAAGCACTGCCCTAGGCACGGATGCTCCTGACTTTGGGGAGGCGACCTACCTTCAGGAGGGCGGGGCTTGGGCGGCACGTGGGAAGGAGCCTGCTGGCGATTGGAACCTAAAACCAGAAGGGAGGGTGTCTCAGCCTCGCACTGTTGACCTTTGGGGCCGGATCATGCTCTGTCGTGGGGGCTGCCCTGTGCACTGTGGGATGTTCAGCAGCATCCCTGGCCTCTGCCCGCTAGATGCTGGTCACCTCCCCACCCCTAGTTAGGACAACCAAAATGTCTCCGGGCAGCTCCAAGTGTCCCCAGGGAGGACAGATTCAGGCTGGTTGAGAACCAGAGCTTTGTGCGTAAGAAGGGGAGGGGTCTGCTCTGCACCCAAAGTGGGAGCCCCTGTCTGCTCAGCACAGAAGAGTTCTCTCTCTGAGATCCCTGGGGCGAGCGCAAGGGAACCAGAATGGTGTGAAGAGCTGGAAACAAGCTCATTTGAGAAACACTAAAGCTGCTGGTTAGCCAGGACAGTGGATAATCCCCTGGGAACCCCGTGGCTCCTTCTGACATCCGAAAGGTGGTCATTACATGGAAGGGGGATTCGACTGGTTCTGGACTGTCTCGAGCCACAGAACTGTATCCTGGGAGTAGGAGCTACGAGGGGGAGATGTTCATGTCACTGTCCGGTGGTTTCGGTGTTGCCCTGGTCAGGGTCAAGCCACATGTCCAGCAAGTCATCACCCCCACCCCCTGTGCACGCTCGCGCGCGCGCACACACACACACACACACACACACACACACACACACACGCCCTTACCTGGCAGTGAGCAGCAGTAGGGGAGACAAGGAGGTGATCCCCCCCCCCAGCCTCGCTGGGCTCTGCAGTGAACGCTCAGGCTTCACCGTTGGGCTCTGCTGATGCTCTGAGGGCAGCTGCGGCCCCTCCAGCCCCCGCAGGCGGCGTAGGCCGGGAAGGGGTAGCACTGGCTTTTCCCAGGGGAAACGAGAGGGAATGACCCCGCAGGAAGAAGCTTGCAACTACATGCTAAAAACACTGCTCCCCACGTCCTAGGGACAGTTCCCACTCTTCCATGGTCTGGATGGAGGAAGTCCTGTTGTCCCCCCCCCATGTCCAGTCCCACGCCCCCCCACTCTTTCCCCGAGCAACCCCCTCACCCTTCTCACTTCCCGTCTTCAGATCATGTCCACCGTTTTCCCAGATATACTCTCACCAGCTTCTAGGAAGCGCCATCCCTTCCCACCCGCTGACCTTGCCCTGGGATGCACTCCACCCCAGGGTGGCCCGTCACAGCAGCAGACTTCCCATCAGCCCTTGTCCTGAGGCCCAGGCGGTTCCACACACAGCCCCCC